ATATATATATATAAGGGATGCACAGAGATCACACATATATATATAGATATAGTGCAATATATATATATATATATAAAACCCATTTATATTGCACTATATCTATATATATATTTATATACAGTGTGTATGTATGTACACACACGCACACTATTGAAAGAGTTATGTGTTATGTGTTTGAAAAGTGCCCAAACAATCTTCAGAGAAATGGAAAAATATTGAAATTTCCATCAGCGAGAGTCCAACCAGCTTGTAATTGGCAGGAGAACCGTTCCGGGAACGCAGGCACATAGATCCTGCCATCGGCGCCCATAGAGATGCTATAAAGCAGGGGCTAGAAAATGATGACTAATTATTGTTGGCGTAACGTGTGGGGTACACCGAGCGATGTTTCGATTTAACAGTTTGGTTGATAATTTAGACCGATTTAAAATGAAAACAAAAGCAACAAATGTAGCGAATTGAAAGGAACAGATCTCCAAATATGATTTAAAGCCAGCTGTACCCGCCCCCTCCCCCGTCTGTTCCACCAGTCAGCGCTGGCGGATCCGAGCGGGGAGGGGGGAATCCAGCCCCTCCCCTGTCACGGCAGAGAGCCGTGACAGGATCGAGAGGTGAGCGAACGCCGGTATGTGTTCCCTCACCTCCCGATCTACTGAGCCGACCTGTGACAGTCTCATTGTCACAGGTCGGCTAGAACTATGAGGTGAGTGAAAAGCACTCATCTCATAGTTCTCCTTTAAGACCTGTGTGGACCAGCTTTTGGCTTGTGTTGATGGCATCAGAATGACATCAGCCTGAGACGCTTCTGAGATCATTCAGAATTTATTGATTGGTTGCTTTGACTTGCAGTTGACCTCCTTCTGACTTGCAGTTGGCCTCCTTCTGACTTGCAGTTGACCTCCTTCTGTCTTGCAGTTGACCTCCTTCGAGCAGGTTTTGCATTCCCATAGATTTGTATAGAAATGCAAGGATGACGAGGTTCTGGCTCAGACTGCCGGCTCTTGGAAGGTCAGAGCAGCAATCCTCTTTCATCTTCTGTTCATTTCACTGAGCCTATGATGGGAAAGGGCAAGTGCCCTCCGGTCCTTGTGTTCCAGAGCCTTCCGGGAGGGAAGCCCCGGCCCCCCGCTGGGTCAATTATAATGCCTGCGAGGGGGGCCGGGAACATGACACAGGGAAAAGTGAGAATAATTTTCTGCATTATCTGCTGCTGCCGCCCGCGGGGACCTCTGCGATGTCGGAACATTGTTGGCAGGAGCCCGAAACATCTCGCGTTGGCTGGAAATTAATTACAGCTGTTTTGATTTAATGGGAATTTGCAGTTTCTAGGTGGCTATTAACCTCTCGCCTTCCGCACGTTTGCAGAGACTGGCACCCACGCCAACGCTGGCAGATGCCCAACAGAGGCACAGTTAAAGGCGAACCCTAGGAGAATTATTAGTCCAGTTATGTATTTTCTAATGTATTGTTTTGGCAGTGCAGTTATCTGCAATCTGTATAACCTTCCCCAAATCCTGCACGTCAGAAATCAGGCTTACAGTGGTGTTAGGGTTACATGAAGGTTAGTGTTAGATTAAGAGGGATGGTTGGTTTTGGGGTTACAGGGAGTGTTGGGGTTAATGGGAGGGTTAGTGTTAGGGTTAAAGGGAGGATTAGTGTTAGGGATGCTGGGAGGGTTAGTGTTAGGTTTACAGGGAGGGATAGTGTTAGGAATACAGGAAGGGTTAGTATTGGGGTTACAGGGAGGGTTAGTATTGGGGTTACAGGGAGGGATAGTATTGGGGATACAGGGAGGGTTAGTGTTGGGGTTACAGGGAGGGTTAGTGTTGGGGTTACAGGGAGGGTTAGTATTGGGGTTACAGGGAGGGATAGTGTTAGGAATACAAGGAGGGTTAGTTAGGGTTACAGGGAGGGTTAGTGTTAGGAATGCAGGGAGGGTTAGTTAGGGTTACAGGGAGGGTTAGTTAGGGTTACAGGGAGGGTTAGTGTTAGGAATGCAGGGAGGGTTAGTTAGGGTTACAGGGAAGGATTAGTGTTAGAGTTACAGGTAGAGTTAGTGGTAGGGATACAGGAAGAGTTAGTGTTAGGGATACAGGGGGGTTAGTGTAAGGATTACGGGGAGGGTTATTGTAAGGAGTATAGGAGGGGGTTAATTTAAGGGTTACAGGGAGGGTCAGTGTAAAGCACTAAAACACATGTAGTTTTTTTTCCTCTTTCAGCCCACACTAAAAAGTGTGTATGGAGCAATCTCTCATGCCAACGATTGTATTCTGACAGCTGTCAGGAAACCCAAAAACTGACAGCAGCTGATTGGCTGCAGTCAATGTTCAGCCGACAATTTTCCACCAGTCTTCCTTTGACTTGAATCAGGCCGGGCAGGGCCACCCAGGTTTGCTGGCAGGGCCACCCGCGGTTAGAATTTGAGTATATAGCCCGAGGGGATTAGTTCTAAGGTCACCGTGAGGGTCAATGTTAGGGCTGCTAGGTTAATGCCAGGACTAGAGGGAGGGTCATTGATTGAGTGTTTTTATCATATGATGCAGACAAATCCATGAAAGGTGATCAGTGGCCCTTTAAATCATTATGAAGGTTTCCAAGTCTTTGCTATGAAAACACAAATAAGTTTAATTGTTTTCTTAATTTAAAACTTTCCAGATTTGGATGATTATTTTAGCCCCCCCCATCTTAAACACACCCACGCTTGCTGTCTAAATCTGTATTCTTTGAACGGCCGCCAGGAAAGTAAAAATCGTCGGAAGTACACAAAGAGATAAGTGGGGTCCTCTGCGCCAGTCCCCTCCTCGGCCCCAGAGGGCTCCGTAATTACAGATAAAGCAGGTCAGCCCTCTCCAGGTTTCATTTAATGAAATGAAAGGTTATTTTTAAATAATCCCATCCAAGGAGAGTCGGCGCGCCCTCGCCGCGGCCCTCGCTGTACTTGATTAAATAATTGCTTATCTGAAAGGCTTCGAAATAGAATTAAGTTTTTTTTTTTTTGTTCCTTTCGTTTTTGCAGGGTGCACCCCTCTGAAGTGCGGCAGAGCCGTGACAGACAATGTTATATCCCAGCGGGAAGCCAAGAGATTGCTTAGGTAAGATTTCCTTGTAAAGTGATGAAATGGCTCTTGTCACAAGTCGTCGCCGCCGCCGCTGCCTTTTCTGTTTTCCAACTTCGCTGTTGGGGTAATGAGGCTCCCTTTGTTGAAGGGGACCTGTCACAATCACACGGTGTATCTGAACAATCATCTAGATTTCTTTACGAAATTCCTATTAAAAAACTTGCATCAGACATTCAGGAATGAGAGGTTCGGTCCTCCTATACCAGTGATTGCTAACGTTTTTTGAACACGAGTGGCCAAACTGCGACGCAAAATCAATGTATTTATCTTAAAGTGTCAACACTGAAAATAAGTTTTTGGTATTGCGTTGCAGTTTGGGTGCTGGGGTGTAAAAAAACGTTTAGCATCACTGGCAGAATAGGGAAACACACATATTCAAAGATTTATACACTCAATAAAACACACACATAATGAAACACACACACACTCATTAAAAAAACAAAACACACACACACATCGCACACTTAATGAAACACACACACACACTCATTAAAAAAAAACCCACTCACATCACACACACACACATCGAACACGTATCAAACACGCACTCATTAAAAAAAAAAAACACACACACACATCACACATGCAATGAAACACACACACACACTCATTAAAAAAAAACCACACACATCACACACACACATCGCACACGTAATGAAACACACACTCATTAAAAAAAAAAACACACACACATCACACATGCAATGAAACACACAGTAATGAGCGATAAAGGTGTTTAAAGTGCTGCGTATGACAGTTTTTTTTTTTTAACCGAAAAGATGTAATGTTTTGAGGTTTAACCCTTTCACTGCCAAGACCTTTTCTGCATTTTTTGACACACAACATGTCCAGGTTAAAAATTGTGTGCGTTCGTGAAACGGCGACAAAATACGGTACCACTCGATGGACTTTTTTTTCAACCTGACTAATTATGCAACTGTGTAACCCCAAATTGTCCATAGGCGATGTGTTAAAAAGCCTCTACAGGTCATCAGTTTAGAGCTATCCATGCATTTTGGCCCCAGAATTATTGCTCTCACTCTGGTGCATGTGGCGATACCCAACGTGTGTAGCACGTTCGTAGTTTTCGTACGTAGGCGCATTCAAGGCGTGTTTACGTTACCACACTCGTGCTCCTTGAGGGGGGGGGGGGTCTTTACATTTTTTTTTTTCTCTTTTTTAAATCATTTATTACATAAGCATATTAGTGGTGACAGATACTCTTTAAAATAGAACTATGGGGTCAGTGTTTTTCCCCATAGTTCCCTTTAGGGTCACGGACATATACTAGCATCCTCCCGTGATCCAAAGCTCAGTATATAGCGGGCTACAGCTCGCGATATATACCGAGACCGCTGCAGCCGGGACGGATTCCGACAATGCTGTCGAGATCCACCCAGCTGCCTGAATGACAGCTGGCGCTGCCTATCTAGAGGCAGAGCCAGCTGTGCCCTCCCCCTACCCTGTGCGTTCCTCCAGTCAGCGCTAGGGGATTGGAGCGGGGAGGTGGGGAATCCCTGCGTAGGATAGGGGGAGTGAGCAAGCGACGCTATGCGTTCGCTCACTTCCCGATCTATTGAGCCGACATGCGACAGTTTCATTGTCACACGTCGGCTCGTACTATGAGGATGAGTGATTTTCACTCACCTCATAGTTCTCTTTTAAGGTGATAGTGCAGGCCTAATAGACCCCTAGTGTTCCTGTTCGACTCCAAAGAAGCTATTGGAGCGCAGAATGTTCTCCAATAGCTCTTTGCCCAGCTTCTGCAACTGAGCAATGACAGCTGAGGGACCGGAAGTGATGCAATCGGCATCGCTTCCGGTCCCAATCAACGGGGAGGAGATTGAAGCGATCGCGCACTACACCGGACCCTAGAAGGAATCTGTGCGGCAGCTCAGCCGCCAGAATCGCTTCCAGTTTAAAGCCGACAGTCGACTTTACACGTGTAAACAGAGTTCCGGCGGCAGTCAGTTTAAAGGGGCCCACTGCCAGCGGCTTAGGACATATGTCGGTGGCAGCGAAAGGGTTAAGGTGCGTTTTCATGTACAGAAGATGCACTTTAGTACGTGTGCGCAAAATGAAAATGTACGTGTGCTCTGGCAGTGAAAGCGTTAACACACCGGGGGAATGACTTCCCAGCGCACGCAGTAAAACGACCACAAACAAGCGTTATACATTATTTATGATTTTCTAGCACCTTCTGCAGAGCCGTGCAATGTGTGCGTCACTGCTGGAGTTTACCATAGAGGTGAATGTAAGAAGCGGGGGACTCTCTATCATATAGAGTATATTAAAAGCCATACAGAGAGTTATAGAGACCCTGTCGCAACTTTTACAAATTGCAGGTAAAAAAACGCTTGCAAGGATTTGTTGTTCACTTGTTGCCTTTGAACTTGCTAAGAAAATTGACTACTCCAGGAAGAGTCAGTTCCCCAGCCTGTCCCCCTCCCTCCTTGTATATCATAGCCCTCTCCTCTTCTGGGAGTATCTAATTACTGTCTGTGTTGGTCCAGCTCCTCTACCCATACCCTGACCTCCGTGATGCCATTGAAATGAATGGCACCACCACGACGCAGGGAGGCTTTGTTTATGCGATCCAATACATTCATCCGACGGGACTATGCGATGAATGCTCTGGATGGTGTGAATAGCCCACTGACGCACCAATTACGACTCATTGCACTTTTTTTTTTGTTAGAACTTTATTGAAATGTCATGAGTGACATTTGATCAGGTTCTATCGGCACATCGCGATGCACTGCGGTTGTACTTGCACGGAGTGCTTTTTGTTGAGCGCACGCCACCGCAACACAGAGTTGATTTAAAACACAGTAAATTGCTTCGTCTGTGTGTTGGGATTGTGCCGTAAAAAGCAACCAGAGCAGCCCCAACGCATCTGCGGTGCCGGCCCTAACAATTACGTTGGGACCCTGTGGGATGCATGACTTCCCCATAATCCTCTCTGGTTGGATGCACGGAGCCGTGCCTCCGTGGAGTGATTCTGTGCGCTCACTGGGCCCAATAAATCCATTCCGGATACATTAATAGAAGGATGGAGCGGAGTGCGGCTTGTGCAATAAATAACAATTCAAAGCGAATACAGTTGAAGGATTCGCATGGCATGTAAACCTCGCCATCCGTGACCGCGCTCTCTGTTTAATCCGCTCTGAAAGCGTGACACGTCAGGGAGGCTTCTTGTCTAAACTGTAAGATACCTAAACTAACATATTTGTATAAAAGATCGGGGAGCCGCAGAGCTCAGGCAGGGGGCAGTGTGGTACCAGCAGTAATGTCTGCAAAGGGAATCGCTGAACATTTCGAAGCACAGCAAGCTTTTTCCTTGAAGAAGTCAGCTCTGAGCTGAACTCCAGCCAGATATAAAAGACATTCAATGTATCTCTGTATCCATTTAGGCCTCATTCACACGAGAAAAAGCCGGCACGTACAGCTCCGTGCTCCATGCATGGCTGTATCGGGCAGCTCCCGGGAAGGACAGGTGCTGCGTGTGATTAGTTCGCAGCCCCTGTCCTTCTCTATGGGAGTACGTGGCCGTACGCCGCCCTACGCTCACCCCAAGTGCAGGTCCGTACAGGTGCGGGTGTCCCGGCTCAGACACAGACAGGGTCCATCCTGTCAGCGTACGAATACGGACACCCGCACCCATACAGACGTGCAGGGCGGGTGAGCATGGGGCAGCGTACGGCCACGCAGTCCCATAGAGAAGGACAGGGGCTGCGTACTAATCACACACAGCTCCTGTCCTTCCCGGGAGCTGCCCGATACCGCCGTGCACGCAGCACAGAGCTCTACGTGCCGGCGCAGCATGGTATTCCGGTACTGCGTGTTGCAATCCAACACCCGGCAGGAGGTGCGTTGGGGTGCCATTGAAATGACTGTCAATGCGACGCACCTTGCACGCAGTACCACATGCTAGGGGGCTGTGTGTACGCAATTGGCACAACGCTTAGGTGTGAATGGGCCCTAAATAGAAGCTGCAGATTTAAAAAGACATTTCCATGTTAAAGCTTATATAAGATTGAGTTGACATGAACTTTAATGGTCATGTGAGATACTTTCCTTATTGAATTAGTACAAAATGACTCTCTGACTCTCACAGTGGATCTTTTCAGCCACTTTAGATTTTGTGTGTATTTTAGAAAGTTGTTGTGAGAGCTGCAGGAGCCAAACTAACTCCATCCAGCCCAAAACCTGACAATTCTCCATTCTGCTCCACACAGACTCTCGCCACCCAGCCCGGGTGTCTTGTAGCTCCTGCTAAACCTCAGAGCTCTTATTGATCCTGGACTCGACTTATATACACAAACCGACTGGCACGCTGGCTGCTGAATCCCCACTCTATACGTTTCTGCCACAGCCACTGTCTGTTTCTCATTTCACCTCCTGAGATCTGATTACCGTCCCTCTGCTATTCCTACAGGATCGCTGAAGCCGGCTTCGCTCTCGGAGGCTCTGACGGAGGGGTGAGTGTTGAGTATCAGAAGAATCCGATGATTATTTTGTGTTCCCCGAGCCCCTCTAGTCAAGAAGCCGTTAATCCGTCCTCAGGTTTTTTTTATCCTTTTCAGATGTGTGTGGCAAAGAGAGAGAGAGAGAGAGAGAGAGGTCCCAGAATTCATTTTCGCCAATCTTGTCCTCTGCCTCTCGTTAGCGGTATCGCAGATTGATGGCGCGTTCAAGTCAGTACTTTGAGGTTTCTCCTCGCTGTGCTTATTAAGGAAGTGGCTTTAAAGCCTAACCCCCAGCCAAAGTGTGTATGTATGTATGTATGTATGTATGTATGTATATACATATATACAGGGCTCAAAATTTCAAGTCCTGAGCTACTAGCCAGGCCTTAAGAGTTACTCGCCACCAGTTGCCCCACCTGACCCCTACCGTGCCCCGCCCTTAACTCCGCCAGGTCAGTGGTGTGACACAGAGAACAGAGATCAGTAACAATGATTGTGAATACCGATACTGGAAGTCCCATTCAGGAAGCCAGGCGCTGTGTAATGACGCGGCGCCCGGCTTTCTGATTGAAAGCCGGCTCCATGCTGATCGGTCAGGAAGCCAGGCAGCCTCTGAAGCCGGCGTTCTTTCGCTGGAATACCGGCTTCACAATCAGGAAGCCGAGCAATGGGTCATGATCCACCTCCCATCTTCCTGATAATTAGGGCACAATGCATCGGTACTCAGTATGGGGCGAGTACCAAAAAATCGGTATCGGTGCATCCCTACCACATATCTTTACCCTTCATTTGATCATCCGGTACAATATGATCCTATAATTGGTCTCAGTGGAGGTCAGCGCCCCCGATTCTCTCTAATATCCTTCCTTTGCTGCCACGTGGAAAGCTGTGACGTCTCTTTAGGACTCCGTAGCTGTCATCATTCCCATTACCTGAGTGTCCCACGCGGTACCCTTCCATGTGCATTATCCAGGCAGCTGTCACCCAGACATTTGCGCAGCTCCCCCCCCCCCTCACTTGAACAGCGCGCAGGCAGCCGACAGTCGAACAAGCAGGGCTGACATTGAAATGACATTAATTCGCTGGTGGAAAAACATTTTCTTGCCGGGAGAGCTGAGAGCTGAGGAATTTGCCTATTACAGAGGATAATGGTTCTCGGCCTCTTGTGCCCGGGAATAAAGGAGCGATTGAGGCGCAGGAGACGTTTTATTGGACGTCACAGTGGCTGGTTATGGGATATAAGAGGGGAGAGCTGAGGATGAAGTGCGCAATTCCACCGACGTCAAACTGAACTGACAGAGTTTCATGCTGAGCTCTTTCTGGGCTATTAGACGTAAAGTAATAGTTTAAATTGAATATGAAAAGCCCGATAACTAGCCTATGACTCTTCTTTGTACCATAAACGGCATCGCCGATCACAGGGGGCTCATAACACCCGCAGCTGGATCTTTCAGTTATTTTACAAGTTTTCATGAACACATTCCCGACCTGTAACAATATACAATCCTATTATTTATGGTACAAGCTCCTAGGACGAGATGATGTCATCAGTCCGCTGCAGGCAGGAGGAAGCATTTCCCCAGTTCCCCCTCCCCAGTGATCAGTCTGCTGCAGGCAGGAGGAAGCATTTCCTCAGCTGCCCCTCCCTCAGTGATCAGTCTGCTTTAGAGAAGAGGAAGCATCTCCTCGGTCTCCCCTCCCCCCAGTGATCAGTCTGCTGCAGGCAGGAGGAAGCATTTCCTAGGTCTCCCCTCCCCCAATGATCAGTCTGCTGCAGCCAGGAGGAAACATTGCCTCACTCTTCCCCCAGTGATGAGTCTGCTGCAGGCAGGAAGAAGCATTTCCTCAGTCTTCCATCCCTCAGTGATCAGACTTTATTATTTCAACTTTGTAGCAAGTCGCAAGGCGATAGGCTGCGGCAGGGAGCTGATCTGTATAAAACATTTGTGAACACAGCCAGGAACTGCACAGGCCCTGGGATTTACGCAATTGTATCATCTCTAAGCCGGCAAACCAGGAAGTAGATGGTGACCACGGATGATGCCTGAAGAAAGATGGTGTCGTCCTTTTCTAGTTCCACGTGTCCATGGGGTGATGTGACCTATAATGTCACTTTCAGTGTATGGTTGAAGAGCGGTTCCTTCTATCATAGACTTCTGAGACATGTGACTGTTTCCCTTTAAAAACCAATTTGCACGGGAACAATGTTATCATGAACCTCAATTCTGGTATCTTTATTATCACCCAATTAAAACCATGGTCAGTTCTGTGCTCTCTAACCCTCTCCCACCCCCTTCCTCCAGCTGAGATTTAGGAGAACCGTCGGCTCCCTACCGTACTGAAAAGGATTAGAGCAGGATGCGAAATCTCGTACTTTAATTTTCCAGCTCCGTCCCTCTGATTAGTAAATGGAAATGTTGCCGTGCCGAGCCCAAGCAAAATCCAGACCTTTTTCCATTTGGGATATTACCATCGAGCACGCCGCTTCTCCCTGCCAGTCCTCCTCCGCCGGCGTTTTCCACCCGTGCAAACATTGCCACGGCGGGGCCGCGATTTGCTGTTTTGTTTCAATTAAGGACCTGGACTGCAAAACAATATTTTAGTTTAATTGGAGATGACTACGCCAGGGGTCAGCGAAATATCTCCGATGGCTTTCCCTATCGGAGAAGGATTGCGGGGGCGCGTTCAGCGAGCTGCTGTTTTGTTTTCGGGAAGAGCTTGTCATGGAAATGGCAGATTTGGGGGTTTAAATGAAACCGGTTATGAGGGCCGACGCCAATGTCACGGAAAAATAATGAGCTCGGCAGGAAACTGTGAAAACTCCACTTTTGATGGTTACAAGAAATGTCATAATTCAATATTTGTGAAAATTACACCGTGTGGCCAAAATTTTGTAGACACCTGACCATCGCACCTACCTATAAATATGGCCGAAAGCACGTGGCGCCCCCTCCAAATGATTGAGTTCAAGAGTTTCCAGCGAAGAGTCCTAATAATGCTACTGAATAAAAAGACGTTTAGGACAATTGTGAGCTTCCATCCATGTGGTATCAGTTTGGTGAAGGCCATTTTCCGTTCCACCATGACTGTGCCCGCGTGTACAATGCCAGCTCCATGAAGACACAGCTTGGTGTGGTACAGGTACAAGTTTAATAACATACATGCAATTTGTTAAATGCACATATAATCTTATGGGAAGAGTGTTGTTTGAATTAAAGGAGAACTATGGGGACAGGGCTTTTCCCCATAGTTCTCCTAAGGGTAACGGAAGGACACAAACTAGCGTCCTCCCGTCACCCAAAGCTCAGTATATAGGGAGCTACAGCTCGCGGTATACTGAGACCGTCACAGCCGGGACGGATCCCGACATTACTGTCTGGATCCACCCAGCTGTGTGAGTGACAGCTGGCTCTGCCTATCTAGAGGCAGAGCCAGCTGTACCCGCCCCTCCCCCGTCCGTTCCGCCAGTCAGCGCTAGAGGATCGGGAAGGGGGGAATCCATGCAGGGACCCGTGAGTGACAGTCACTGCTCTCTGCAGGGACGGGATCGAGATGGTATGTGTTCGCTCACTTCCCGATCTATTGAGCCGACCTGTGACAGTCTCATTGTCACAGGTCGGCTAGAACTATGAGGTGAGTGATTTTCACTCACCTCATAGTTCCCCTTTAATGTTCTGCCGACAGAATTTAGGTAAGGTCGGTAAGGTGGTGTTCATACCTGCCAGAAGTTTAAGTCAGGCATTGCCATTACCCAGAATCCTCTCTGGCTTCCAGGCATCATGGAGCATTGTTGTTACGAATTCTTCTACCATTTCCTTTCTGTCGTTTTCCAGGCATCAATCCTGGACCTGCACTCCGGAGCTCTGTCAATGGGGAGGAATTTTGTCAATATGTATCGGTGAGGAAAACTTGTTGTTTTCTAATCTTTCACAATTCTATCCTGCTGCCCAGACCCAGCCTTGTGTCACCCTACTGTGTACTCGTACCCCCCATTTACTTTACAATTCTGTTTCTTTCCTATTACTTTTCCCTTCATTTGTTTCCTTTCAGATTTCCACTTTTTATCTTTCATTTTCTGTCTCTCTCCTTTTACTTTCTTCTTTCACTTAGTACTTTTGTCTCTCATCATTTACTTTCCCCTTTTCAATCTCTCCTTTGCCTTTTGACTTTTCCCTCCTTTGTAGTTTTTTTTAATCTTTTCACTTTAATCCCTTTCGCTTTTCTCTCCTTTCACTTTTTTCCTCTTTCGCTTTTTTTCTCATTTTGCTTTTTTCACCTTTTGCTTTTCACCTTTCACTTCTCTCATTTCACTTCTCTACTTTCGCTTTCCACCTTTCACTTCTCTCCTTTCGCTTTTCACTTTTCTCCTTTCACTTTTCTCCTTTCGCTTTTCACCTTTCACTTCTCTCCTTTCGCTTTTCACTTTTCGCTTTTCTCCTTTCGCTTTTCTCCTTTCGCTTTTCTCCTTTCGCTTCTCTCCTTTCGCTTCTCTCCTTTCGCTTCTCTCCTTTCGCTTCTCTCCTTTCGCTTCTCTCCTTTCGCTTCTCTGCTTTCGCTTTTCTGCTTTGTTTTTTTTCTCCCTTTCGCTTTTTTCTCCTTTTTCGTTTTTCTCTTTTACATTTCTCTTTTTTTCCCTCTTTTCACTTTTCTTCGATTTCACTTTTTTCCTTTTTTTTTTTTTTTTTACTCTTCACTTTTCTCTTTTCAGTTTTCTTTCTTTTTACTTTTCTCTGCTTTCACTTTTTCTCCTTTTACTTCTCCTTTCATTTTGTTCTCTTTCATTTTTCTCCTTTCTTCTTTTTTTTTTTCTCTCGCTGTTTTCCTCTTTCTCGTTCTCCTTTTTGCTTTTTTTTTCATTTCCCTTTTCTCTTTTTGCTTTTCTCTTCTTTTGACCTTTTTTACTTTCACTTTTCACTTCTTTTTTTTAACTTTTTTTCCTTTTTTTGGTCCTTTCACTTTCCCATTTAGTTTTCTCTTTTTTTTTCTCTCTTTTCACTTTTCCCTTACTGGTTTGAATCACTCTCTCCTGCTCTAACATGTACGTGTGTACAACAACCTTTCATTAGAAATATCTGTTGGCAGCCAGATTCTACATGCACAATGAGCTGCTATCTGGACTCTTTTGTTACACCCCCCCCCTCCATTTCTAGTCCTGTTTACTACAGATCATTAAGCGCAGCTCCACTAACACCAGACCTCTGCTCCTCGGCACACTTCCTCTGCCACTGTTTCAGAGCAATAACTTTGTGTTACACTGTGTTAGTAATGCAGCCGATTGATTTATTACCAATTATGCCTTTTATAATACTTTGTATGAATGAATTTTGCTTGGGCAGAGAAGATAAATTGCTCTACGAGTCCAGAAACCGGTTCGGAAAGCCCACAAGATCAGTCATTTTCTCATTAGGGATTCCAGATAACAAAACATCTGCCCAGTGTGTCCTTCTCACTGTCAGAGGTAAATCCTGGCCGGGTATCGGAATAGTAATGTCCGAGCTTCATTGTTTAGCTATTTTATTCTTAAAAGTGTGTCAAAACCCAGGAACAAAAATATGATATATTCCAGCTTAGCAGTCCTTAGGTGCGGTGGCTGCGTTAGTTTTAGTTTTCTTTTTTGAGGCTTTTTCCTTTATTTTTCACCTGGTGATCCTTCCGGTAACACAATCACCTACAGTAACAATGTTCTGTCACTGTACTGTATCTATGGAGGAGCAGTGTTGTCACCCTAGAACAGGAAGTGTGTTAAGGCTACAGAACACCACCTTCTCTTCTCGTCTATAGAATGTGGGCTGCCTGTGGTTTCAGTGCAGCAGAGGCAGAGAGCACAGGAAATTAAGAGCTCACTGGATTTCTGGCAGGATCAACTGTTTTTTTTGGCCTTTCCTTTGCACTATTAAAACTGATATAAGTGCATATAATGTGTCTCCATTCTATGACTGTCTTCTGAACCATATCCACAGTCTCCAACAACTCCTACAGAATGTCTGCAGTCTCTGACCATCTCCTGTAGCTTGTTTGCAGTCCCTGGGCATTTCCTGTTGCATGCCCATAGTCTATGACCATCCCTTGTAGCATGCCTGTAGTCTATGACCATCCCATGTAGCATGCCTGTAGTCTATGACCATCCCTTGTAGCATGCCCGTTGTCTATGACCATCCCTTGTAGCATGCCCGTAGTCTATGACCATCCCTTGTAGCGTAGTCTATGACCATCCCTTGTAGCATGCCTGTAGTCTACGACCATCCCCTCTAGCATGCCCATAGTCTATGACCGTCCCTTGTAGCATGCCCGTAGTCTATGACCATCCCTTGTAGCATGCCTGTAGTCTACGACCATCCCCTCTAGCATGCCCATAGTCTATGACCATCCCTTGTAGCATGCCCCTAGTCTATGACCATCCCTTGTAGCATGCCCATAGTCTATGACCATCCCTTGTAGCATGCCTGTAGGCTACGACCATCCCCTCTAGCATGCCCATAGTCTATGACCATCCCTTCTAGCATGCCCATAGTCTATGACCATCCCTTCTAGCATGCCCATAGTCTATGACTATCCCTTCTAGCATGCCCATAGTCTATGACCATCCCTTCTAGCATGCCCATAGTCTATGACCATCCCTTCTAGCATGCCCATAATTTTAGATAGAGTAGATTTTTAGGGGCCAAATTTTTCAGGTTGCAATAATCTTTTTTAGGTTGTGGAAACATTTATTTAATCATTTAATTTGTAGGTTTTGGTTTCCTTACTTTTATTATCTCATTATCTATGTATATCTGAATAAAAATAACATATCAATTTTTTTTTTTTACAGTTACTATGGAGAAAAAATAAAGGAGATAATAACTGAAGAGGATTTCCAGCTATATCGGTAACATGTTTATTTCTATCTTTTTATTTATGCGTGACTTCCATGCTTTACATCAGGGGGCGCCCACAATTTTTCGTCTGGAGATCTACTTTTCAAATGACGAACTCAATGAGATCTACCAACGAAAAAAACACCTGCATTCAGGGTGGGAGGGGGCATGGCGGTGCATTTAAGTCAATGGCACCGCAGCCACACCATTCACCCACAGTGCGATCGCCTGCACCACATTAGTGCCTGTGTTCCGGTCCAGTGCGATCTGCAAAAATGCTGCAAGCACTATTTTTGCAGATCGTAAGGGCCAGACTGTGCAGGCATCTAGAGCTCTATACCTGTGGATCGCAGAACCTGGAAGTGCCAAACAGCTGGCCTGATGCTGATTGGCTAGGACGCCGGCTTCCCAACCAATCGGCATAAAGCCGGCTTTCCGAAGCCGGGCAGCGTGTAATAACACGCTGCACAGCTTTCTGAATGCCCAGGAAGCTGGCTCCGTGCTACCAGAAGTACAGGTATCGGTACTTGGTAATGGCGAGTACCGAAATATAAATATCGATACTCGTACTCCATACCGAAAAACCGGTATCGGTGCATTCCCTAGTTTTGTTTTTAGTTTTTGTTTTTTTTACTGACTACTTCACCACCTCCTTTTTTGCTTGCTGTGGTGGTGCAAGGGATGGGATTTACACTCTCTGATCTGAAATGCTGAAAAAGACTGGTGAGCTATTGAGGACAGAAATGAATGGTAAAGTGATCTTCTGCTACCTGTTCTTGATTTAGACATACAGTTGTACCTCAGTTCACGAACTTAATTCGTTCCGCCATTCTGGTCGCGAACCAAATCAAACTGTGATCAGACCGCAATCTCTACTAGAGGGAGCCATGACCATGTGTCAGAGCGGGGAAAATGGCTGTGATCGTGTTGGTCACCCGATGCGGAGTTCGCGAACGTAAGCAAAATTATGCCAAACTTCCTGATCGCGAACCGAATTGTTCACGAACAGTAGCGTTCGTGAACCGAGATACCACTGTACATTACATTAATATTAAGGAG